AAGAATAGCAGAGACATAAAATAGAAAAACAAGGCTATCAGCACTTTAGTTAGGTTATGAGTGAACTTTGAAAAATCTCCTGGTTATCCCCATCTACCCTGCAGTGATGCACATCACTGAGTGCCCTGGAAACACACAAAACGATCTCCTTTCAGGTGAAGCTGAGCTATATGTGCTTCAGAAGCACAACTCATGCTTTCCAACTGCTCATTTAATTTACAGGTCAAGACTAGAGGGCAGGCCAAAGTAAAACCACAAAATGTCTCTACTGGGGACAGCAGCACCTCAGCACTGACTTTTTCACTTCATCTACTCCTATTAGACTCACAACAGGCTAATGTCAGCATAGCCAGATAACAAGCTAGCTGTTTTGTTTTTAATTTTTAGCTGGGAAGAGATATTGATATTTCTCAGCATTAATGGTATAATCACTGAGAGGAAGAGCTGAAAGTAGAAAATTTTACACTGATTTTTTAGTTTTCCTTTCCATTAGATAATGATGTGTATAGATAAAGTAACACCATTAAAAATGCACTTAAATAGAGTGCAAATATACATTTGTCAAGAGAAATACCGTAATTATCCTCACCAAAGCTGAAGGTCAGATCTGCTTTCCAAAGCTCTCATTTTAAATGTATGCAGAAGTTTGCCCTTCATCTTAATGTGGATTGCATTAGCTTATGTCCTGTTTTACTCCAATTTCTATGATGTCCTGTTCCTGTACCCTGAAGAAGCAAAGAGGATATTTTGGGCTTGGCATCTACAATTTTTTGCAAGTATTTTGTTTTCATCATTTGGAAATTTATCAACTGAGGTGCTCCGAAGCCAAAGATGTGTGAAAATGAATTGTAATGCATTATTTCATGGGAATCATGTCTTTTTATGGATGTCTGTACATCAGAAAGATTTACCTCAAAAAGAACAAACATCTCAAGTCTGTATTTGTCTAGGTGGAAGTAAATTCTAAAACCCAGGACTTTTTTTAAAAATTAGGAAGGGATTATGCCCTTCTAGCAGATTTTTTAGCTTTTATAGCCCAGAAATCAGATAACAAGTATCAGAATTTATTAAATGCACATTTCCAAAAAGCAAAATCTTAGATTTACTGTTTCACAGAATTGATTCAGTTTGTCTTCAGAATTCAGTTCTTGTGAAAAGGATGTATTTTTAATATTTTGTTTTATAGCAGCATGTTAAATTCCTTCACTTCCAGGAGTTCTTCAGAAAACTACCGTATGCCAGTGATGGAATACAAAGTGAATGAAGGAATGTCATATGAATTCAAATTTCCCTTCAGAAATAATAACAAATGGCAGCGAAATGCAAGCAAAGGACAAGGACCTCATGTGGCTCAGGTACCATCCCAAATGCAAAGTCCAGTACCATCTAGGATTGGCTCTGGGAAAGGAGAAGGGAAAATGCCACCCCCAGAACGAGCAGCCAACATCCCCCGCAGCATCTCGAGCGATGGGCGCCCGTTGGAGAGCCGGAGGTACGTGTCTTCCTCACTAATGGCCTTTCATTACTGCTCAGAATCTTGTCTGGAAAAAAAGCATGGTAGACTTATCTAAGTGTCAGAAGACTGCTGTTCAGCTTGGTTTTGATCAGTCAAAAGGGAACGTGAATATGAGCAAAACAGTAGCCAAATGGAAATACCTTTTCTGGCATAAATAACCACAAAATCAAGGGTTACCGGATTGTTAAGATTATGTCCTCTTGTATTGGTATTGTTCTAAAACTGCTGTATTGTTACTGAAGCATTACAATTGAAGTTTTAGATGTACATTTTCTTAAACTTCTACTTTTTGAAGAAGTAAATGAAAGTTTTAGCTTCTTTATAGGTTTGGTGGAATCACCTGAAACTCAAGACAGAAATAGCATTTAAGTGGTTGTTTAGCAAGAGAATTCTGATCAGCATAGAAAGCAAATTTATCTAATTGGGGAGTTTTTTACCTTTTTAGGCTGGAGAAGATTTTTTAAGTTTACATTTCTCCAGGGTGGTTTGGGACTTTTGTTAGTTTTTTTTTTTTTTGGTTTTGTGTGGTTTTGTTTCTTGGTTTGGTTTTGGTTTGGTTTTGTTGTGGTGGAGTTTTTTTGTTGTTGTTTTGTTGGGAGGGGGGGTGTGTGTTTGGTTTTTTGTTTGTTTTTTTTAACAATAAAGCAATTATTAACATAAATGTATCAGGCACATTGTGTCACAGTATTTTCATTCTTTCACAGAAAAAAATATGTATTTACTAGTATTCAAATGAACTGTCATTGTTTTGATTATCTGTATATATATCTGTCACTGTCTTTGCATCTTTGATCTTGGTTTGGTTTTGGTTTGGTTTTGTTGTGGTGGAGTTTTTTTGTTGTTGTTTTGTTGGGAGGGGGGGTGTGTGTTTGGTTTTTTGTTTGTTTTTTTTAACAATAAAGCAATTATTAACATAAATGTATCAGGCACATTGTGTCACAGTATTTTCATTCTTTCACAGAAAAAAATATGTATTTACTAGTATTCAAATGAACTGTCATTGTTTTGATTATCTGTATATATATCTGTCACTGTCTTTGCATCTTTGATCTGTTGAAGGAAACAAGCTCGTAATTAATATTTCTTATTTTGGACAATTCCTTAAAATAACAAGGTGTAGATCAGATTTGGATTGCGCTTTGCTGAAAAATATAAAGCAGTGGAAATTAGATGCATATTGCAGAAAATTTGTAAAGAGCTCTAATGAAGTAACAAAGTATTTTCACACCTGAAGAGCTAAGGATAAAAAGAAAAATAAATGTTTAAAGATGATACAGCCAAGATGAAGAAACTACCAAGGTGAAATTGAAACTTCTATGTAGGACACCTTGTTAAGAAATTATAGTAGTTGTTAAGGAGGACTTAATTTTCTTACTTTATTTTTTCATTAGTGACAACTGTATTTCTGCAAAGTGATTAGAGTCGTTGCACCACCCCCCCCCAGTTTTGTAGCCTTATGTAAGTTCAATAGACATATATTTAAAGCTGCCATCAGTTTAAGGTGCAAGAGAACATGTGCAGCACTGAGAGCACTAATAATTTTACAGACAACCTGATATGGTTCTGTGATAAACATTGCAGAAACCACTGAGACACTAGACTAGGCTCTCTAATGATATATTTCAATCAATATAAGAATTCCAGGGCCTCTCACAGCTGAGGACAGGCAGATGCTGAATTTGAAGGAATAGGAGTAGGGGTGTTGGTTGCTCTTTCCAGTGCTATAGAATCTTACTCTGTAATTACGGCAGTCACAGTAATAACTGGGCAAAGTTTAAGGCAGTGGCAGAAGATCGGATTCATTTGAGTTGCCTTTTTTTTTTTCATAAGCTTCCATCTCTTCATGATACTAATCAGAGTTTTGTCTGGAGTTCGTTGTTCCATGACTCGTGCCGAGAAGAGTGAGCCTCTGGCTGCACTGAGAAGACAGAATATTATTAACTGTTTTTCTTGTGTATAAAACCCTATGTGGGCAACATCATACACCTAAAGCATCCAAGATTTATCCAGTCCCTGGATGCTTCTGGAGCAGGGTTGTGGCCTGACAAGTGTTTGCCAAGTGAAAATTACATTTCCATATACTCAATACTCATTTTCAAAAAGTGAAACTTTGAGTTTCTATTTCCTTAATTTTCAAGGCACGTAGCTGGGATTTTTCTCCTCTGCACATTCTTTGAAGTATTTTTTAATTGTTACTCAAAAGAGTTCTATTGGATCTTTTTGTCCTTAAAAGTGTATTATCACAGTAGATTATAAGTTTGGCTGGAGATTTTTTTGGATGCCTGAGAATTGTCTTCTCTCTTACCTGCTAAACATGTTAGTCTTTGCTGGATCAAGTTTAAATATAACAGCAGCTGCATAAGGTTAACAAGCTTCCAGTTAAAGTGAAGAAAAATAATTTTTTATAATTTTAACAGAATACAGGAGGGGAAAAAAAAAAAGGAGTAAGCTCACTCCAAGGCTCGTTTGTCTTTTCTCTGCATGACAAAAGAAAGCTTTGCTTTTGGGGAGGCTTAGATAATTCTATTCTTATTATATAAAACCTCTAAAATCAATAATGATTTTATTTTTATCACCCTCTTCAACACTGTCTCATTTAATTTTTCAGCACTAAGTTTCATGCTTTCCACAGTGTAAAGGTCACCTATGAGGAGGGGCTGGAACCCCTGGATGTTTAAGGCACAGGTAGCAGCAAAGGTGCTCTGTTGTGCTTTGCTCCATGTGATTTTTGTTTGCTCAGCTCTCATTTGATTGGAGAAATAAAGGACCACGAGTAACCCAGTAATATGGGTACCAGGATCTATGCTGGTGGTCCGTGTGATCTAAAAGTAGACCTCTTAATAACATGATCATAAACACAAATCCACCCTAGGCAAGATTGCTACTTTACCATCTCTCTCAGGTATTTAGGTTTTGTAGATAATTTTTAAAGGGTTTTAGAAAAAAAGATCTGTTGTTATGGCTCATTAGCAAAGCTTCACTTTCTGTAAGAAGGTACCACCTGCATGTCAGTGGGGCTGTAAACTTACCTATGGAGATCAGCATCAGTAAGTATTTTCAGCACTAAATTATAGCTGTAACCTCAGTTTCAATCTTTGTTTGTGGTCTAAATACTACTATCACGTGTTTCTGTGGCGCTGAGCCGCAGTTCAAGCTTGCTGATATTTGACTGATCTTAATACTTGATCTTTTTGAGAGTGAAGCTGGCATTTATCACTCTCTGCTCCTGCTCTTTGACCACATATTCTTCACTTATGGAGCTGGGTGCAGCAACAGTGATGGCAGACCTCATCTACCACTAAGAAACAGTGATCTATTGTTTGTGATATGTGTTTTAAGAGACATGGCAGCTGATAAATCCATAGTAAATTGATCCATGTGACTCTTTGAGCTTTGAATGTGAGGTGATTTTTGGAGCTAATGCTGGTAGCAGTCACCCAGGACCACAGAAGGTCAGTACCATCATCAGCTGTAGCTCCCAGCAGCTGGGATTTCAAAGCACAAAATAGAAGCATCTCTGATGTATCAGACCTGACATGATATTCATTTTAATAGTAGCTTATCAGCAGTAAATCCATGGCTTATATTAAGTATTTAGAAAAAAATCCTGAAAATTTGAGGTTTTTAGTTTAAACAAAAACAGCTTAGCAGACAAGTGTTTACTTCTTTGAGTACAGTGTTCTCACAATACAGGGAGTACAGGTATAATGCTTTTTGAATTACCTACTAGTGATATTTGACTTGATAATCACTTTATATAGCTGGAGTGCCTAAATATGCATACCAAGTGAAATGGATTTATTTTTTTGTCCCTGTTGATATTTTAACTGTAGTCCATTAAACTGTGTTAAAAATAAAAAAAAAGCTGCATTACCAGTCCTGAGAACAGGAGGATTTCACTTCATATACATAAAAATATCTTGCCTCCCTGTGATGACTATTGCTGTAGGTGGGAGGGTAGCTTGCTTGACAGTCCCTGATTCTGAGTCAGCAGATAAATGCCCATTTCTGTACCTAACCAGCAGAGTACTTAAATTTGCCTTTATTGGACTGTCTTCATGTATCCAACTCACCAGCTTCTCCCATAGTGTCCCATGTCCTTGAATGTATTCATAACTGATGTGCATATTTTTAGGTAGAAAAAATAGCCCAGAACTTTATACACCTTAAAATAAATCTCTAATGTTACCACAACATTAAGAGTGAAACAACAAATAATATCAATGCAGTAAATTCCAAGTTATGGCTTCTTTCACGACATTAATTAGTCCACACACGACACTCCATAGCCTGTAACTCAAAGTATTAGAGTGATGCGTTGAGGAAAACAACCATAAACCACAAAAATATGAATTGTGCCAGAGCTCATGTTATTGGAGAAGATGTCATTTTAGAGCTTGGTATTTTTTTTCCCTCCCTGTTTTCAGTTTTTATTTTGTACGCTTGGTTTCCAGACTTTATTAAGAAAAAAATATGCAGGGAAAGGAGATGATACTGTGTTAGAAGATAATCTCTTCTTAATTATCTTATCATAAACTGGAACCAAACTTAACTGAAACTTGATTCAACAAACATTTGAAAACTGTGAAAACTCTGGTGAGCAAGGCCTGTTGCTGAATTTGGGCACTTCAGTACTGTTCTGGATGAAAGCTCAAAGCTCCATATACAAAGTTTCTGAGTGCAGTCAATATTTTAAACCAAATGGGAAACTGAATTACAGCATGACTGCAGTCAAGCACTTGCTGTAAAATTTCACAGTATAGAAGTATTAGAATATTAATTAAGACTGGTTTCCAGTCTTATTGAGGACTTTGGAACATGGTCTTGCCCTAAAACTTCATACTACTTTGGTGCCTGTGCATCGTCAGTGACAGTAACTGTGCAAGTAGTAGTTTATAGGTTAATGCCTACAGATTAATTCTAGTTTAAATTGTTCCCATATTATATAAAAATCTTAATCTGCTGATGTTTACCTTGGATGAGTGAAAACAAGCAGGTCTCTGTGCTCACCTTGCCACCTGTCAGGGGAGCATTGTAGGATGCACAATGCATACCTCACAGGTTTTGAGAATCTGTTGTCTTAAGGTTTTCATAATAATGTTCAAATTAAACATCTACTAGTATGGGTTTATGTTACCTGTTTTCTTCTGGCACTAGAGCTGGATGTAGCAGTGGAAAAAACAAAGGTTTATTGTTACCCTTGGCTGTATGGCCTAACTCTTGTGTTCCAAAAGCATCTGAGAAGAGCCATGCTGTGTCATGTCAAGAGTTTGGTCTCTCTTGTTTGACATGGGCCACCAGCAGGGACTGGGGAAAAGCATACAAAATGCTTACCACGTATTAAGGAAGGCTCTTTATCAGGTCCAACAGTCTCCTGGCTGTCCACTAAGATGGCCTGCCTGGAGCTGGATGCACCCGTACTGCTGTGATTAACAGCTGTGGGTGGTATCTCTTAGTGTCTGCTAATTGTTTCTCTTAATTCCAGGTCTCCTACTATTGTCATGCTCTATTGTCATAAGGGATAAGAAATAATAATTTTGTTTGACTGATGCAATATAATTCCTTTTTTGATAGAATGAAGCAGGTATGACAAAATTCTCTATAATCTGCAGAGATGTACAGCCTGTCCAATGTTTCCTCAGCTAGAAGCTGTTCTGTACCTTTGGTTGTCCTCTTGCAGCCTCTGTATTTTTCATGTTATAATATGTGTTTTCTGTAATGTGATGATCAAATCAAAGAAAAATATTTGAGAGGTATACAGTGTGGTGTGAGACAGCATAAATGCATAATTGCATTTTCTGGTTCACTATCCCCCTCTCCAGATTTGCTGGGTTTTTTTTCCTTTTTGAATGGTTTGGTTTCCTTTTTAACTTGAGAGCATTGAGTCAGTGTTCTCAGAGAGATGTCACATCTTGCAGTACTATTAGGATTGCAAAAACCAAACATGTGGAAGGTAAGCATGCCAGAATTAAGATTTGCTGTGCAATTTTATTCAGACCTCTCATGTAACAGTATTTTCTGATACTTCCTTTGATTAAATTAAGATAATTTCTTTTAACAGAGGACATCTGCTTCATTCATTTCACACAGTGGATGCAGCTCATTAAAGAAAAGCTACTTACCATTTTATTTTCCTCTTCATTACTCCACCCCTATTTACTGGATGGCATTCAAATCCTGCTGTAAAGATGCAATTATTAATTCCCCTCTAAGTTTTTACAGTGGTGCCTATTACTGTAGTTTCTGAATGTTTCACGGGTATTAATTAACTTAATTTTCAAAACTCTTGTGTGAGAGGAGATGTCTTTGGCCCCTTCCAGATTAAGAACAAAGATATATAGATAAATTATGTTCAAATAATTTGCTGAGTCTTATTTTGGTCACCTCACATTTGGAAGTGTGCCTGGCATTGTTAATATTTTACTTATTAAAATTACAGCTTCTGGTGACTTCAGCTGCTTTGGTAAGTTTCAGCTCAGAAGTAAATTGGGCCTTGGAATCAGATAAGGCCTTTGATAAGCTTGCAATTAGGGACAAGGAATGAAAAATCTTGTCTAACAAATATGGCAGTGGTCACAATGGAGTGCTGCAGCAAGTGCAAGATAAGAATTCAGTTTGCCAAGTCAGCACTGAAATGCGTTGACAGGAAGGGCATCCTTTGGTCTGTTCTGCCAGCCTGCACCTCTGTCACTTCTGAGCTGTGTGCAGCTCTTGCAGAAGTTGTAGCACGGAATAAAACTGCATGGGGCAGAGGTCCTAAGGGAAATGGCAGCTGTGTATATTCATATAACTAAAGAGTGCCCTAGGCCATAGGCACAAAGTTGCCTATGAAGTATACATTGCACACCTGTGCATACTGAAGATGTGGGGAAAATTACAGCGAATGACATGGAAATTAATTTATTAGGGGCAAGATGGATGGTTCCAATGTCTGTTGTCATACTAAACCAAATAAATGTACACACATCCTACTCACTGCCTTCACAAAAGATTATTTTCTTCCTGTATGTGGCAAGACTCAACTAGTCCTTTCAGGATGAACTAGATCTGTTAGAAACTAAATCATGCCTGTTATAGTCCCAGTTCAATTGGCTGCAGTGTAATTGAATCTGTTTAACGCAATGGACACTTGGCCTATTTTTAATTCAATTATGTGACTCCGTGCACTTAACCATTTTGGAATTTCTTCTTAAAGCTGTCTTTTGAAATAGATAATAGCTTGTTTCAGCTTGGTTTTTAATTATTAATAAAAGACTAGCACAGAATATCTTAACCATAGGGGCATACTGCTCAGACAATACTCTTATTGTCTTGGGAAGTGTCTTTCATCAGTAGATTTCAAAGCAGCTCAAAAAGTCAATTTGAACTAATTTACTTTAAAGTTTTTTTTCTTATTTACATGTTTCGCATGAAATGAAATGCCTATCACAATCTTTTTTTTAGTGCTATTGTGAACTGTACCAACAAAAAATATATTGCTGATTTAATAGGATGTCCTACCTGACTGGTTGATCCTTGCTGTTCTTCCAACCACATTTATGATAAGATTTTGTTTTCCCTCAGGGTCTTCCATCTTTGTAAATGAGTTGTAACTCCATGACATAGTTCTGAAATCTTGACGTTCCCTCTGAACAGCTCTGTCACTTTTTGGTAAGGTACAGGAAGTAAAACAAAGGCATAGCTGAAGCTGAAGTGAAAATGTAAGCGTTTTCAAGAGGAAATTATTTTACAGAAATTATTTGAGAAGTAATTAATTTCCTTGCCATAAATTCTAATTTAATATTTGGGGAAAAGGTCATATTTTCAAACTATATATTACTCTGCAAGCGTAACTGAGTTTGAACGCATGTGTCTATCTAGATGGGTGAATGCTATGAAAGCACTTTTTTGTTGGATGAACTACCACTGGGAAAATGAACTGCTTGGCTCATGGGTCCCCAAGTTACCAAGGCTTGAGCTCTTTGCAATCAAAGATTTCAGGATTGTTGCTTGATAAATGTGAGATAAGTTAAATTCAGTTTAATAGACCAGAAAGGAGTTAACTGGATTTGGTATGGTACTTATGGTGGTCAGGTGTTAGATCATTCCTTTCATGTCTGGGAAAGAGCGCTGCTGTTAGTCATGTGCACTTTGTGAAATTCCAGATTATCAACATTGTCTGGTCCAGTCGTGCTACGCTTTCAGAATGTTGTTAATTTACTGCTTTTTTGTAAAGTACTGAGGGCGGCAAATGCACACGTGATACAGACAGGCACACTCTCTCTCTCTCTCTGGATACATGCACATACACAAGTAGCATTAATTAGTGCAATACTTTTTTAATCTTCAAAAGAGTTTTTGAACTTTCACAGAGTTGTCGGACTTGGAAGGGACCTCTAGAGATCATCTAGTCCAACTCCCCTGCCAAAACAGGATCCTCTAGGGCACATTACTCAGGACTGCATCCAGGAGGGTTTGGAATATCTCCAGAGAAGGGGACTCCACAACCTCCCTGGGCAGGCTGTTCCAGTGCTTTTTCACCCTCATAGTGAAGAAGCTCTTTCTCATATTTAAGTGGAACTTCCTGTGTTCTGGCTTGTGCCCATGGCTCCTCTTCCTGTCACTGGGAACTACTGAAACAGTCCGGCTCCATCCTCTCTATACCCACCTTTTAGATACTTGTAGGCATTAATAAGGAAGGCCTTCCCTCTCAGCCTTGTCTTCACCAAGCTAGAGTCCCAGCTCTCTCAGCCTTTTCTCACTTTAAAAATTCTTACACTATTGTGGTGAGAGCTTATTAAAATCTGCTACTCCTTTACAGATCTAGATGAAGTGGCTAAGCTAAAATCTTGTAAATCCCCAGACCCAAGTTGGGCTGAAGCAACTATCTGTGTATTTCACTCAAGTCAATATGCATTTCTTCAACATTAAAAGTTAAATTGCTATTTAACTTGTGAAAGTTACAGTACTTGCTTAGTTAAAACTAGTCAAGGCTTGTGTTCACAGTGGGATCTGGATGTTTGTGGGTGGTCTAATTCAAAGTCCACTTTAATCACTGCAGAAGTTCAGAATGGCTTCAGTCACCATCATACAGAATAAAGACGCTGCTGCTAGCAGCAGTGAATTTGGTTGGGGTTTGGGAAACGGTGTGGACAAAGCAGAAAATTACCTAAAAAAGCCCTGAAGTACAGAACAGGATATACGAGTTGAGCATTATTAGCCTGCTGCTTCCAGTCACTCTGCCCGGGTGCTTGTGTTGCAATTCTAGCCCATTTATTTGCTGTATGGTTATTCCAACAGGAGGTGGCTTCATATGACTCAGGTTTGTATTTTCAAGCAGAGTTTTGATATGTTGAGATAGTTTTGTATTAGAATGTTAAGGTTTTTCTGGGGAGATGTTAAGGTATTTATAAATAACAGTATTTTGTAGTCCTTGTTGTTTAATGTTTGGTGGCATAAAGATAAGCTTCATACTCTTGGAAGAGTTTTCATAGGCAGCTCACTACAGCTACTTTAAATTACATGCAAGAGTTTATATTGAGAATTAGAAGGATTTTTTTCTGTTTGGTATTTGGATGAGGAATGACATGCTTCATTGTTCCTTACAAGCAATTGGTAAAAATAAGTCAAGACTTGAGAAACTCAGTTGTTTTCCTAGCATGTGCTGGGATTTTCCTCCCACACTTGCTACTCTTTATTTACTCCTTTGCATTCCACTTTTTACAGATGATTTTCCATGGTTTCCAATAGATTAATAAGGGAAAAACATCTGATTCTTCAACTGACAATTTTTACTGTCCCCACAAATCCATAGTCTTTGCTGATATTCTCCATCATGCTTTGCACTATGATACAGCTGTTCAGTGTTGCTGATTTGGCTGGTTCTTTTGCTCTGAACAGGTTGTCTCCTGGCTCTGATGTCTACGTCACCGTTTCATCCATCGCCTTAGCAAGATCGCAGCAGTGCCGCAATTCTCCAAGCAACTTATCATCCTCAAGTGAGACTGGCTCTGGTGGGGGCACATACAGACAAAAATCTATGCCAGAAGGGTAGGCACCAGACTCTTTTCATATTCTTTTTAGGCAGGTTTTTTCTTCTGTCTTCCATTTGTTGTAATGTGTGTTAAACTGAAGGAGTGCTTACACAGACTCCTGTCAGCTGTTGTTTACATGCATTAAAACATATTTGTTTTCAAATATCACTGCCAGGCCTCTTGAAAAAATCAGTCAAAAATCTCACAATTCCACCTTTTCCTATTGTGACCTAACATCTCTTTCTGATCCTAGTCTACAGCTGCTCAGGTTACTATATAAAGGGAACCTTACTTATTTAAAAATCTTCATTAAAGGTACTGACTTCATATTGCAAATTGCTTCACTTCACAGCTTGAGATTCAAAAATTTTAAAAGTAATAAGTTTGGGTCTGTGCACACTGTGCTAGCAGTTGAAGAAAAGGAGCGTTGAGCACAACTGAGATTTCAGATGTACAATCAGAAAAGTGCTAATAAATCCACAGCTGAGCATATTTTCCACATATTTAGTCATCCTGTTTTAAGGTGCTCTCTTCCAGCTTTTCAGAAATCTTCAAACTCTCTGAAGTGATTCAATGTCAATGTAGGGGCAACTTGCAGAGGAAGAAAGTAAATTTGCATCATTTCCAGAGAGCACTGAAAGGAGTAATAAATCAGGCAGCTCCAAGTATGGAAAAAAATAATTGGCAGCAGGAGAGCTGGCTGCCACATTCCAAATTACTTGCTATAGAGAAGTTAAGGGGGCAAAACTGCTGGTAGTTTACACTGCAACATTTCCCTCTGAAGTCTTCTTGAGTATGATGGAAGTCACTGTGTGTAATTCATTCTGGTTCTCATCTTCTATAAAGTAAAAATGTATTTTTATCTGTTTTAAGAAGTACATTATTAGTAAGATTAGGTACCACTGTCAGGAACTGCTTAGCACAAGGCACTACCTTTTTCCTGTTTAGCTGCCTGTAAGGGGACACTGCTCTGTGTCAGTCCAGAGGATACTGTTCTGAACATGTCTTTGGGTCTTCCTCCAGAGTACTGAAGATTTGTCCTCTCTGTCTTTCTCCTTGCACCTCAGTTTGAGGTTTTCTGAAGAGACCACCTTCTCTGCTCCACACCTTCATGAAGGCTTATATTCATATGACTATCAGACCTGTTCAGGTCATAATTTCAGTTTGTGCTTAAGTCCTGCTGATGTGAGGAAGTTTGCTGTAAACCCATTGAACTGTAAGGAAGCTAAATAGAAGCGTGTCCAGAGTCTGCAGCTGGAAAAAGCACTTAACCTCTTTGTGTGTTGCATACTTCCTGGCTCCTTCATTCCAGCAGCACTTGTGTTGCCTTGAACCCTGAAGAGCAGCTTGTGCTCCTTATATCTTGCCTGCTCCTTTCCAACTGTCATTTGCCCTACAAAAATGGTGTTGCTGCCATATGTCCTTAGACCATCACAACCATAACTGCTTGAGTAAGAAAGGATATTCAGACAAGCGAGGGTTTTTGTTTTGAATTGGCCTCAGAGCACACCAGCACCCATCCTCTTCTATCTTTTTGAGTTAATTATACACATATGTTCACTGCCACATTTCTTTGAGCATTTTGCAAGTTCAGCAAAGAGATGTGTCCTAGAAACTTTGCTTGTATGTTCTTTTTGATTTTGAAGCTTTAATTTGGTGCAACAAAACACTGCTTAAATGGAAAATGAAAGAAGTAATACGTGAACTTTACATGTTCCTTACTGGATGCTTTTAAAAAAGAAACATCACTTAATTAACTGCAATTATTTATGTTCTGTTCTTATAGGAAAAGCACTTTTATCTCCCATACTGTCCTAGTACACATAAATCATGTTTTCTCAGGACTTTCCAAATATGACAGATTTGGAAAGTCTATGAAACTGGAAGCATGGGTGTCAGTCCAGCCTATGTCAGACACTGTAAGAGCAGTGACTGCTGCCTCTTCTAAGTTACTGGTCCATGTCCTGAGCCTGGGTATAGATGAAAACTTCACTGCCTTCAAGAATGTCCAGATTGGTCTTGATGTATGTATGTGTGTTTTGTGTACTTACTGTGTTTACCTGAAGGTATATATAATGTAATAAATGGTTGGAGAATGCAAGCATGAAATTCAAAAACACTGAAATGATTAGTTTCTTTGTAAGACGAGTATATAAAATGCATATTTGAACAATTTTGGTTATTTAATCCAGATAGAATTCTCCTTTGAGTTTTTTTGGCTCATTATTGCGTACCTTAACAGGCTATATAGTTAAGCAGCATAGAATATAGCACCACCAGCTTTTCTTGTTTCTGCTTTTAAATAGCCCACTTCGTGTAAAAAAAGGTAATCTAATGACATTTTCTTGCTGCTTAATTAGTACAACAGTGATTTGAATGAAATAAAATTAGGAACATGGTAGATTTGCATATCTATAATCTTGAAAAAAGGGCCCCACGTAATAAAATTTTCCAAATCCAAAACTGACTGCTTTTACGCATATGAAGATTACGGAGTTTAGGTAAGACGGCAAAGCGTAGAAAGTAAAATATTGATGGAGTGAACTTGATCACACCAAAGTTTCTTGAGGTATGGGCTTTTTCTTTCTGATAACTCTTAATTACTTTGTTGTGAAAAGATATTCTTTCCAAAATCCTTTACAACTCTTAAAAGTGTGAAAATTGCCTCAGATCAAAAGGTGACATTTTGGAGATGTGCTGCAAGTGTAGGCATGTTCCAGCTGCTCATCTTTAAGGATGGGAGTGGGATTTTATTATTCTGAACTATATCACTATTTTTGGTGTGTTCATGTGAGTTGACAAGTTTGTGAACTTTCAAATGGGGTAATGACATTGAGCTTGTTCCGAAAGTTGTGCAAATGTCTGGTTTACTTTAGAGGTCATGTGGGGCAGTCTGTAGTTAGAGTGAGTAGAAAGCACAGTTATGTTATTTTCTGTTATTATGTTAGGCTCTTAAAGCTAGAAGAACTCCTTGATATAGAGAGAAAATACCAGCTGATTGCAGCTTGTGTGCAAACTGGTTTGCTGGTTGCAAACTCTGTGCATACAGAGTTTTGGGAATTTTTTTTTTTCTTGCTTCAGGACAATTCTAAAAAAAACCAAACTACTGCATAAATACCTTATTCTTGACAAGTTCTTAATGATTAATGTGCTAATTCTGAACTCAACTGTAATTCTTGCAGACTTTTAAGTGATTTGTTATGTAATATGGAATTACAGATTTGGCTCTTACAGGCTTTTAGGTATATAAGACAAGTAGACTTCAGTATGGCACATAGGCACTGGCCATCACGATTGTCATTAGATTGTTCTCCTTGAGTTTACTATGTATTTGACCTTTCTAAAATCCTGCTAGATTAGTCAGATGGATTTACAAAGACCATTTAACACAGTTTTCCTTTTGCTCAGTATGCTTTCTTCTACGATGATGTTAATACGTCTCACTTCTTTCCTATAGCTGTAATTAGTTTACACTAGTCCACTCAGATTATTTTGTGATCAAATAACTTAACAATTTACAGAATTTATAGTCTCCAGGTTTGGGGAATCTGTAACAAATACAGTCAACTTCATAAAAGCTTAATTAAAATATTTGGCAGTGTAATATTTTCCCAAATTAATCTGGTGTTTGCATACATGACTGCATCCCCTAGGTATGACTTTACTAGTCTTTTGCTTAGAACCCAGGGGAAGTGGCTGAGATCTATGGGATTGTCTCAGCAAACTTTCTGATGCTAATTTTCAAGGTAGCGCTTTCCAATTTAAGAGAATCCATCCTTGATGTCTTTTGCCAATAAACACACCTCCTTTCCCTAAGTGGCTTTTATCCAGACTTAGGTTTTACTCACTGGTATCTATTTTCTGTAACACTGTGATGGTCTGGTCACCTTTTCATGTAAACATTTATGTAAATGAAAACTAATATTTTTATTTCTGGATGTTTTGGTCTGTTTTGTTTTCTGTCTTTTTTTAAATTGTATGCACTGTAACCAGAGGCTCAATAAATTGTGTACTGTAATCTTATGCATTAAAGGTGCTAAATGGGTTCTGAGACCTGCCACAAAAATTCAGTGGAACACCATTATAAATTCCTCAAGCAGTTATGCTATGCATTGTTCTGCCCTGTTGTTGGACACTAGCTTCTTAAAAGTGCTCTTTTTACCCCTGTGTGAGATTTATGCATATTTAAAATAATTATCTGCTTTGTTTTTGGGGTGTTGCAACAGGTTTGGAATTAGCCGTAGATCCCCTGCTTCCATTGACAGGCAGAACACGCAATCAGATACGGGTGGTAGCGGCAAATCCACACCCAGCTGGCAAAGAAGTGAGGATAGTATCGCTGACCAGATGGGTAGGTAATGAATTCTTTACAATGAGCAAGTGGTGCTAACCAAAAAGTGGCTTTGGCAATACCTCTCCACACAGAGGAAGAACCCTCTTAAGCACTATGTTTTCATCAGGTTGAATAATTAGGTCTGGAACATCTACTAGCTTCTGCAGTCTGTTTCCTTGAGACCTTTGAGTATCACCTGAGGAAGAACAGATTTCACTTCATTTGATTGTGGGACTAAATCTTCCTTAATGTTCTTAACCCTGAAACAGTCTGTCCTTTTAGAGTTGACTACATATGCTTGTTAATTTGTCTTGCAGTTGGGGACTTCTTTGTCCCCACCTACTCTCCCAAGTGAGGCTTGGCTTAGTTTATTTTTTGCTGAGTTTGTCTAAAGTGCTTGCAATGCTGCCTTTCTAATGGTGCTATATAAAAGCCAATAGATTGATTGAACATTGAATCTATAAAAATACCATGTATGAAACAGGAAAAAATGCAATTAAAGTTTAAATAGAGAAGTACATCTCTATCTTGGTAATCGCCTTCCACCAGTGTATACATTTTCATTCCACTTGGCAATTAAGCTGTCAGCTCAGTCAATATATTAACTACATAAAATAGCTGGATACTGAGAATTTGCAGTTAGCCTTCATTTGAAGTTTCTGCACACAGACCTTTTGCTACAGCTGTGGCTTGAGTTGAGTGGGATACCATGGATATTGACACCAGTGGAAATACCAGATCTAAAATCAGCATTGATCCAACATGATGACCGTGGTCAAGATTACTGTATTGTTTTTTTCCAACTTACTTACCATAAATTAAACAATTCTACACTTTTTTAATTGCACATATAGACAATCATTTTACTGCATCACAGCTGATGTTCTATGTAAAAGGACTAGTGTTGAACACAGGAAGGTTCAGTGAGATCAGCAGGAGTTTGTTAAGGCAAATGCCAACCTTAAGTTTTGGAGATGTACGTTCTTCACATGCCTTCACAACCTTAGTGAGCTGTGCCTTGTTATTGAAGCCATCTGTCAGTCCCTCCCTCACAACTCCCCCCATACTTCTCACTAAAAAGCTGTGAATATTCTGATCTGCAGTTCTCATTTTGACAGAACACTTTTTAATCGCATATGTTTTGATACTGGTGTGATGGTAACGACACATGTAAAACTGATCTTTTGCTCAGCACTGCTTTTGCAGACCAACATCGAGTGTTGATGCTGGTGCTGAGTGGAGCTGCCTGCAAGTTCGGTTGTACAATGTCAAGTGTCACTGTGTTAGCAAAATAAATGAGGCCAAAAAGAACCGGAGAAATTGTGTGGTAGAAGAGATGGCTCTGGCATTTTGCAAAGGCTGAGAAATGCATATTGACATGTAATTCCTGTATTTTATCTCTTATGTATTGTCCTGCATTCATAGAGTCGCAGTTGGAAGCTGCATCTCTGACTGGAGACTATTGCCAGTCTGGTGAATCTAGGTGAAAGTTTTGGTTCTATGCCAAATACATTTCCACTTGGGATAATCTGTCTCAAGGTAAATAAGGTATTAGATGCAGTGAATCCACACATGCACTCCTTCCTGGCCCTTTCTTAGCTACCAAGGACCTTTGTTATTTGTGCACCAGCACTGCTTGCTACCGCTTGCCAGGGGAAAAGACGTTCGACTTTTTCCTAAGTAGTATTTTTAACGGTTAAAAAAACACTCACTTTTATTTTTAAAAAAACCTAGAAGCACTGCAGATCAAGGTGAACAAACTGTAGCTGTGTTGGGGAAGGCACAGCTAATTAGCATGGATATTGTTAAGTACTTCATAAGCACATATTCTACTTTAAAAGTAGCATTTTTAGAAGTGCAGAATATTGCATGACCTCAGGAGAGAAGATATGTGTAAAAAGTCACAACTGAAAGTGATTCTTTTAAAATACTCACCTTGGGCTCTGAGAAGGCCATTACCTTCCTACCTGGTGGACTGTGGCTGAACACCCTCTATGCCCTCCATAGTTATCACCTGGGAAAAAATAAGTGTAATTGACGCAGCACTCCTGTGAATGTCCATGTGAGGTGGGTGATTTGAATTCCATCCACTTTTATCATGTTTAGTAGATATTCCTTTTGTACATCTAGTTTCCACATTCACAGCCATCAGTTTTAAAGGGAAAATTTCAACAGATTTTTACTGTCTCTTTACTTAGAAAATGTTTATTTAGCTCACCTTAACTTTGACAAGAAATATGTACAGTAATTGCACTGGAGAAAATGTATAAATTTAAGTGATCACTGTAAACTTTTGCTCTTGTCCTGCCTTGCGTAGAATATAAGGAAATGTGGATCTCCAGGTTTTTAAATCTCTTGTCCACAGGCAATGTGCATATAGAGATTCAAAGTCAGTACATTGTGAAAATGAACATTCTGCTGGTTTAATGCTCTGATACAGTGTTGCTAGTCGATGGGGACATGATACCATTCAGGTTGTTCTAAAAGCCAGGACGGTGGCTGCTGGTTTTTGGTACAGTCTTACTGATTTACGCCAGGCAGGAATGGTCCCCTTCACTTACTCACCTGTGTTTTGCCACAATATATTTGGGTTGTTTTTTTAAATGAATTTTGTATTCGGTGTCTGAAGTTTTCGGCTAATGGTAGTATTGAAAGAATTGCAGTGTGAAATTAGGTTACACATTTTCTTAGCTTGTTGCACTGCGTAAGCTCTTCAGTACATCCTTGTGTGCTGTATTGCAGAACCAACGTGCCATCTCCCAGCAGTATCAAAAGTACACCCATCCTTCAGAGAAAGCCCCAGTGGAAGACTGATGAGACAGGATCCTGTGGTTCACTTGTCTCCAAATAAGCAGGGTCATGTAAGTTATCCTAAAAAAGGAATTATTTCATGTTTTGCTTTTGCTCCACAAGTTCTTGATACCAAAAATGTTGTCACAAGCTACGTTTTGAGTGTCAGTTTAAAAAAGAAAAAAATCCTCCAGCCCTTTTCCCTACTAGAATATGGAGGAAACAGTAGAGGGGCCCTTTTGTGTCCTGTATCCTACCAAAGCAAAACACAGCCTACTGAAATAGTTATTAGCTAATAAAGTTTTTTTGCCAGTTGAACAGCAACTTGTCTGTTACGTTTGGATAAGTAGAGGATTTGTGGGAGTTTGCAAAGCTATTCCTAGGCCTCACATGTGAGACTTAAAGCTTAATATATTTTATAATGCAACTCTCAAAAAGCTGCTTCTTTGAAACAGAATAGTTGTCTTGGGTTTGGTTTTGTATTTTCTCCTCTTTTCTCATCTCCTGTAACTATTTCTTCCTTTCCATAACCTAGCACACTCTTGGAAGACTTTGTCTGAAAAGTCTGCTGGAATCGTGCTGAAAAAAATGTCATTTATAAGTGTTTAGTGTCTAAATGGTAAATTCTGCCTTTCTGCAGTTAGATATTCATATATTTTGGAGACTGTCACTTCCTGATGTGCATACAGAGAGATAGATGAATGCAGTAATGTCCATAAATATAAAATGTTTTGAAAATTAGGTCACTAAACTTGAAAAAACCCTATCCTCTAAGCTTTAATTACACAATAAACTGTATTGTTTGGGTTTTTTCTCTGTTTGTACAGTCAGCTAAAATACAGAGTTGTGTTGTGTGATTACACTGAAATTATTAATTGCATTTGTTTAAGTGTGAGAAAGTCTGTAATTGGTTCATGTTATTAGCTCCTGCTTACAAGCATTCTTCTTGCAGTACAATAGGCAGTGTTGCTTTTAGGTTATTAATTCGTAACAACACATCTTTATTATTTAAAAAAACGAAACAAACCCACCCAACAACAACATACCTGTCTTCATATTCTTAGGAGCACAAACTAGTTTTTATATTTAGATTGACCTGTTTTCCATGAGATGCACTTGACTGTGATGATATATAACTCATTAACTTGCAAGCAAAGTAGCACTGGAATTACTAACGCCTGCATTCTTCTCATTTAGTCATTGTTAAAGTAAATCTTTATTATGTAGACAGATGGAGAGGGGGGAGCGATGCAGTTCCTAACGAAGAGCAGTAACTTTAATTGGAGATAACTAGAAGTTCAGCTTAATAGTCCTGTTTTTCTGTCAGTTCTTGCTTTAGTATAAGACGAGATGTAGATGCTGAAATTTCTTGCTCTCGATATACATCCATTTCTATTTTCCTTCTTTTACATTTGGATGGGATCTCTGCCTGTTTGGTAAAAGTCCAGGGGTAGACAAATAGGAAAGGTAGTTCTGAATCTCCTTCCTTACATTCCTTTGTTCCTGGGCCATCTGGTCACCAAACAAGACCATTGCCTACTGAAGAACTGCTTCAGTTCTGGTTATGTAGATGATCAGAATGTAGCTAAATTCTGTAGATGAAAACTAAAATGAAGGAATTCAGATGGATATAAAGAGCCTGAAGGCAGGTGAGCTACTAAGTAATGATGAGCGTGTGGCAAGAAATTCTTCCTGTAATGGGGTATTCTACCAGTGCCCGCTGTGGAATTAAGGCCATTTCATTTCTTTGTAACAAAATAACCTGGCAATAACCAAACAGCACAAACAACCAGACCTTGGCAAACCCTGATTGGTCAATTCAAAACCATTACATTAAAGCTTCCTTTACTGCAATTTTGCCTTTTTGAAAATAATTTCAGATTAGTTAGTTAAATGACATTTCAGTGGTTGTGTGTCAAGAGCAGCCCTGCTGTGTAGGAAATATACCCTACTACAAAGGAATAGGAAGAACAGTGGTTATTTTACCTTTTGATAGGTAATTCATTTATTAATATATATAGTATTTTTCATTGTGGTGGTTATAAACCAAGCCAAAGTCTACACAACTTATCCCATGTCATTGGACTGGGCTGAGCAGAACTGTGCTTGAAAGGAAACAGTAGAAAGCCTGTAAGAAAGCTGGGGAGGGATTGTTTACAAGCACGTGTAGTGATAGAGCAAGGGACAATTGCCTTAAACTAGAGCAGGGTAGATTTAGATCAGACGTGAGGAAGAAGTTTTTTACTGTGAGGGTAGTGAAACACTGGTACAGGATGTCCAGGGAGGTGGTGGAGGCTCCATCCCTGGGGACATTCAAGGTCAGGCTTGATGGGGCTCTGAGCAATCTGATTTACTTGAAGAGGTCTCTCCTCACTGCATGGGGGTTGGACTAGGTGACCTTTAAAGGTCCCTTCAAGGCAATGCATTCTATGATTCTATGAAAGTGTTCTGGGACAAAATGCAAAAACTCTGGATTTCCCTGGATACTTATGGCATGACTTCCAAATCTGAATGAAAACTTCTTGTGTGCATCCAGAATAGAGAACATGCATCATGTTGGAGTAAAATTTCTAGAGTTTATTAGCCTCCTCAGTGTATCTATTCAGTACCTCAAGGTAGAAGAGCTCCTATTGTGCAGTGGCGACTTCTGTATTTGTTTGTTTCCTCTTCCTTTATTGCCACAATTCTGAAATAAACCTACAAGTGTGGTTTCTTTGGATTGTTGTTTCTTCTGTAGTCTGACAGCCACTATTCCAGCCATTCCAGCAGCAATACTCTCTCCAGCAATGCCTCCAGTGCTCACAGTGATGAGAAGTGGTATGACAGCGGAGAGCGCACCGAATCAGAGCTGAACAGCTACAACTACCTTCAAGGGACTTCAGCTGATAGTGGCATAGATACCACTTCCTATGGCCCTAGCCATGGCAGCACTGCCTCCCTGGGAGCTGCAACATCTCCCCGTACAGGACTAACAAAGGAGAAGGTGGCACCACTGTGGCACAGCTCCAGCGAAGTGGTCTCCATTGCAGACAGGACACTGGAAAAAGAGAGCCACTTAGACCGCAAGGCCGAGTCTTCACTGAGCCTGGATATTCACAGCAAGAGTCAACCAGCCTCCAATCCACTAACAAGGGAGAACAGTGCTTATAGTCTTAGTGATGCCGTCTCACATACAAGGTAATTTTCACCTCTTATGAGATGACCCCTCCACACTCATTTCCCTATGCTCGCTCTAGCCTATCTGCAGTGAGAAATGGATGTTCACAAGAAGTTTCTCCTTATGTTAACCAGTCTTTTGGAAGATCTTACTGTGCAGAATGCTTGAAAATTAAGATCAAATTTAGTCTTAACATTTACTGTTGCTTATAACACTAAACAGTGTATTTGAGAGCATGTGCCATACTGCTGCTGCTAAACTAAACAAAGACAGGTGCCTAATATGTTTATAAGGAATATCTTGCAAGAACTGCAGTTCATATATGGATCAGAAAGAGGATCAATCCGTTTTATTAATGCACATAATATTTTGTGTGTTTAATACAAGGTTCTTTTTCAATCTTGCAAGTGTGCATCTTTTGTTTAGAAATCTGCTTGTAGCCAGAATGATTAAGACTGAGAGCAAGTTGCTTGGGAGTACTAGCGTGTAGATTTTCATTTCATCCTGCTGCAAGCTTGTGAGTACGACACATTACAGTCACCTTGCCTTTCTCCCTCAGTTTTGCCACGTGTAAAATTGAAAACATCAAGTATATGTATAATGTGCTTGAACACCTCAGATGGGAGGTACCCACTTTACAAGTTAATCAGAGCTGCTAGAGGCAGAAAATATTTTAGACCATTTTCCTAACCCATTTCCCAAGAAATATTCTGTGTGCTTTTTGAAAAATACTGTGTCATACTAACAACAGGAAAAAACCGAGCTTGTTCAAGTGTGGAGGGGTGATGATTGTAATTTGTTGGCCTTCCAGGGCCTGGCCACTGAGTCTGTTCTTAAGACACATCTGTTTCGAGTGTGCAGCTAAAATGCCTAGAGGCTGGAAGTCTGAAGCAATATTTGCTAGTAGTTTTGAGCAAAGCTACATTTATGCAAGGCTAGGTATTTATCAGGCAGTTCAACAACAACTCAGGCAGTAGCTGCAAATAGGAGTTGTCATAGGTGCTGTAATGTAGTGAACGGTCTCCATGTACTTTGTCATGGTAATTTTCACTAAGTAATCTATTAACGGTAGTTCCAGTCTGGTTTTCTGCCTCTCATAGTTGGCCATTTTTTATATTCAGTTGGTATAAATCCCACCCAGGTCTCTGAGACTGGTGTTGCTGGTATCTAAGTGTGCATGAAGGACTTGAGCAAGTCTGTAGAAACCACTGCGCAGAGGGATTTACTTAGATTTTGGGCAGTGTTGGCATGTGCTCCTTTCTTGAGGGTAAAAATCTATATGGTGGGTATCTACAGTTTTGTTCTTTTTATTCTAAGACAAGCATATATTATATGAGTTTTTTCTCATGTTAGTTAGAATTTGCCACATGCTCTGCAGCACTTGTCTGAATGTAACTAGCAGTCACATTTAATGTGAGATTCTTACACAAAATTTTGATTGTAATAAAGTGTCAGTAGCATATATCCATTTGGAAGGATTTTTTCAGAAGTGACTTGAAGCCTGGAAGACTTCCATGTAGGTCTCAGAAGCTTTATTGTGAAAGTGAGCCTAATGGGAATGGCATCTTTTGTACATCTGAGGTTCTGGTTTCTTCTTTAATAAAAAGAAACTTACCTTTGCAGGGCAGGTACACCCCACAGGTCTCTTTGTTGTCTTCCATGGATGTACTTTGCAACTTCATTGCAAATTTAAGTCTAGGATATTGTCTCATTATTTTTATGTGGTAGCATTATGTCTCCAAACACAGTATTTTTTCTGGTTTATTTGTATTAATATATGTGGTGCTTCTCTGATGATTCTGAAATTACTCTCTACATTATTTGGGGGAGGGCTTTTACTGAAATTTCCAGGTAAAGATTCCCTAGGCTTCATTTTAAAGAAAAGAGTTGGTTGTGTTTTTTCTAGTTTCATTTCAAAATCAGATGTTTCAAAATCAGCTCTTTGCAAAGAGTAGTAGGTGCCATTTGTAGAATGCATGAGCCACGATACTTGAGAAATACTGCAGTCCTTACACCCACACCGTTTATGTTGGTGGAGGAAAACCAGACTGCTTTGATGCCTCCCCATAAAGCAAATGCACAGTCTGGGCTAAAAAGCTTTTTCTCATGGTGTCCTCGTTGGCCGTGTCACACTGAACAGCAGTGCTGACGTGAGGAAACCCTAGGCCCAGCTGTTGCTCCCAGCTCTCCCATAGCTCTTTCTATGGAGGCACAACAGCTTGGAGCTGGAGGCTTGTTGAACTGGCACTTCCAAAATGTGCCCACAGCTGCCTGCTTTAAGGATGTGAAGGAGAGGAAACTAAACAATGATTCTGAACAGGCTACTTTCAGTGAGAAATGAGCAGCTTAATTGGTGTGTTTCTCAATCAGTTTCTCAATTGTCATCCTTTGCTGCTTCTCCCTTTTTTACCTTTTGCCTGTGGATACCAAGAATATCTGTAAAGTCTTCAGAGTCAGGTTTCTGAGCAAGAAGAAATGTGGCTCTAAAAAGAACTCTATGACAAGAAAAGAAAATAACCACAAATTAGAGTGTTTGTGTCTGTAGAAGACAAGTGATAATTAGTGTTCAGATCATTTGGTGGTGCATAAAAGAACTTGTACCTGAGAACTGGTGGCAAAATGTAAATTATAGTGATTAATTTTTACAGTAAAGCTTCTGGCTTCAGCAAAGCTTCTGGCTGGGTTCTTCTCCACCCCCATTCCAAAAGTCCTTCGTGATGATTGTGCAGATTTCTCCTAGCATCACAGGAGAATTGCATTATGTAGGCCAGTAATTATACAGAATCATTATAGCTGAATGTCATTAAATGACATATGCCTTGATGGCATGAATTTGCTAGGAAAAAAAGTAAATGTCAGTTTTCACCTGAACTGTTTGGTTTCTTATGGTCCTCTTACCAAAACCAAAAGGAAAATCATGGCTATTTCTAACCAAGTATCTTTTTCATTACTTCTAATGATGTTAAGGTATTTAAAATATTATTTCATTATTATAGAATACATGCAGATTGTCCTGTACTGGATCAGTTTTTCCTTAGTTTAATTCTTCATCAGGGGGGTTGGACTAGATGATCTTTCAAGGTCCCTTCCAACCCCTAAGATTCTATGATTCTATGATTCATGTCTCAATAACTGAGGTGGGAGTGGGGGACCAACACTGGCTATCTCTGTGTCCTGAAAATATGAGGACTGAATTTCTTCCAGATATGATCAAGCTGGTCCAGGGATCTGTTAGAGTACGAGGAATCCTCTGCACTCTTCCTGGTGTCAAATATGCTTAGTAACTTCCCATCACTGCCAGAGGGCTCCCGCTCCAATTTAGTTTTTCTAGAGTTCATCCAAAGCCTTTTGCTCTACAAATGTGCTCTCAGTTAACAAATGTCTCTTCTTCAATAGGATACTTCTGTCAGTATCCTGTCGACCTGCTTGTGTTTACCTGTAGGGTGAAAAGCTTCAGTCATATCCACAGTTCTGTATGTCATTCCTGAAGCAGAATATCCTCCCAAAATACCACATTGTTAAAACCACAGCTCAAAATACACAATACACTTTAAAGAAAAGTGTATTTAAAACTGCATGCTAATTTTCTTGCTTATTTGCCTGGCTGATCTTAGAATCTATTATATGATACATAATATAATGTACTTATGTAGCACATTGAACATCATTTTTTACCCCTTTTGTCTAGTAATATTAAGGATCAACAGTACTGGCCTATCTAATTTTTGTTACTAGTTTTTCTCAAGAAATGTTTTCTCACAACTAGCCATTTCTTGAGAACTACTTCATGGATTAAAGAATTCTGAAATGTGATCAGAACTTCCCTTTCTTGCGCAGGAGCAAAAGACTTCTCTCCACTTCCTAAGTGTATTTAGAAGGGGGTAAAAAATAAATAAGAAAAAATAATCCCATACATTTTCTTCAAAGATCCTTCCCCAAGTCTTGGCAGTTTAATTTTGCGGTGGTGATGCCTCACAGATTGGCTGGTTTACTCAGTATGTGTAGGAGTTTATTTTTAGTATTGAAAAAGAGGATGGGGGGGAATGAAGAGAAATTTACTGCCTCTTCCCCTAGTTCTTATTTTTCTCTGCTTTCTTGCTATAAATTGTTTACTTATGTCTGTTACAAATACAAAGGTTGTGAAGTGCAGGGCCAAATACACAAGTTTGGTGGATGGGAAAAATCTCTTCCTGTCTTTGCCCAACCTGCCGTATTTTGCGTAGGTCTTTTGAATGTAAAGGTGGAGGGAATTAGGAAATAATTTTATAATATAAAATCTTTATTATTGTCATTTGACTTGCATACACATGGGGAGATGCATCTTGCCCCTGATGTGAGGGACTTCACAGCTATCTCTGTGTACAATAGATGGAAGCATGGGCTGCAGCAGCTCATGCTGTTTGAGGTGGGAAGACTCAAAGCCACTCAGACTCCACATTAAACCCACAGCACTTAAGTGTTTGGGCTCATGGTGCTTAACTTGAGCCTTATGAAAATGAAACTAAGGTGATTTTTTTAGACTCCAGCTGTTGTTAATGGAGAGAGAAGAGAAACTCCAAAGCATTAATTTTTCATTGTGTGTCTGAAACACCTAATATAAGATTAAGAGAGTCACCTCCTAAGGATATTTCTCCATTGACTACAGCAGGAGCCAGACAAATGATAGATTAGATTAGATTACTGACTATTAGAGTGGTGAAGAATTTTCTGTTAAGCTAAGAAATAAAAGATTATTCAGGGACTTTATTCAGCCTTCCAGCTAATTTTTATTTCTCAGTCAGACACTTTTTTGCCACTAGCCCATCTGCTTCAAACACTGTGTTGGATACAGGGATGAAAATATGGCAAAGTTCTGTAGAGAGATGACAAAAAACTATCATGCTATTTCAGTACGAAGGCTGTACACAACATTTCTCTCCAACTGTACTTGGAAATACCTGACTTTTTAAGGTTGTTGTAGTAAATACTGTCTTAAGACCTACTGCTCCTGATACTATGCAAGTTGCATCAGATTTGAATATCAGCAGTACTGAAGAGTAGCTCCCATCTAAAGCCCCTCTCCTTTTAATGATAAGATGCAGTTGGTCACCCCATCTCTTTTTTCTGTCTAGACAAGTTGTGATAGGTGTTGGAGACCTGCTCAGACTTCTCAGTTTAAAAGTCTTTTTTGTACAAATGGTAACTGCTTTTCAGGCAACATCCAGAAAGCCTCCTTTTGAAAGGTGTATGGATTTCTTCTGCTGTTTGTTGTGGGCTCTTAAAGAGATGTCTCCTGTTGCTTATGTTCCTTCAAAATATGTTTGCTTCCACAGCCAGCAAGAAATTGGACTTGGGTTCTTTCTTGCTGATTCAGCTACAATCTCTTGTGTTACTTTGATGCTGCGTAATGACTGTGATTTCCCAATTGTGAAGGGGAATAAGGGAATAAGCAAACTGGTTTTGATACTCCACCCACTATTGATGAGTGATAACTTGTGTCCAGAGTTCTGCTTTAAAAATAATTAAACAAGGTGCTCATATATACATTTTAGGCAAATTTTGTCTTTATTATGTTTGGGTTTTGTTTGGTTTTTTTTTTTTGTAGTACCATGAGCTCACGACACTCTGCCAGCCCGGTTGTTTTCACCAGTGCCAGAAGCTCTCCTAAAGAAGAGCTTCATTCTGCTACTTCTCCCCAGCTTGCACCTTCTTTCTCCTCCTCCTCTTCCTCCTCATCTGGTCCTAGGACGTTCTACCCTCGCCAGGGTGCTACTAGCAAGTATCTGATTGGATGGAAAAAGCCAGAAGGAACAATAAACTCAGTGGGATTTATGGATTCAAGAAAGTAAGACTCTCTTCTGGTTCTCTTGTTTGGTTATTTGCTTTAGTTGTTAAAACATTGTGGTCTGTGACAAATATCTGTATAGAGCAGCCCAAGGCTATTTAATAGAATGCTTAGTTTTCTGTAGAACTTAATCTCTAATCTAGAGTTCTGCAGTTAAGCTTAAATATTTTATAATTACCCATTCTCATTCCGTGTTGACTTATAAGGGAGTTTTTATAATTTCTAGAGATCTGTATGGATTTCAGACCTATTAATGCTTATCTTTTGTTGGGACTTCTTAAAGGTGACTCAAAATGGAATTTGAGCAAATATCAAAAATCCTCTTAACATAGAGCCTGAGTTTTCCTTAAGCCTCTCCCCCATGTTGTAGCATGTGTGCTGTGCATTAGCTCTCTGGCACTCCATGTTGCCTGATGATTCCTGCCAGTATCCAGTCTAACTGGCTTAGTGCAGGCCAAGATCTCTCGGTGTTACAACATGCCACTGTGCCTTTTGAAAGAGACATTGAGAAACAACTACTAGTGAAAATACTGTTCTTTAAATCTAGTATGACTTGAAAAACAAGTGGTTCAGAAAGCCCATTTCAAAGTAATTTATTCAACCCTTCTTGACTTTGATCGGGTGAAGCCCAGTATCCCTAGATGATAACAATAACTGGCTGTCAAAAGGAGATGGTGAAACTTTGTGAGAGCTCCATTATGAAGAGCTACTTAAAAGATTAAAGAAACTTAGTGATTTGCTGGTTTGGGGCTCATTGAAGATGTATGCTTTTTATGTTTTTACAGAATACACAATATTTTAATAGATAGCCCTTATTGGGAAAATGTGTTATGGTAACATTTAAGCATATTGCTAGTTGATGTTTTTAAACAAGTTTATTGCTTTGACAGGTATTCATTAAGACAAGGCTCTGCTGTATTAGAGGAACTCCTTCCCTCCTCCATGCCCCCTACTTAGGTTTTTATTTGGAAAATCTTGAGGGTGCTATGATTCCTGTTTCTTTCATGCCTCCTGCCCCAGAGCTTTGAGACCTGAATGTGTCTGTTCCATTTCATTTAAGACGTCACCAGAGTGATGGTAATGAAATGGCCCACCCTCGGCTGCGTGCTTCAGCAAGAGATCTACGAGCATCACCAAAACGAGCATCCAAGTCCACTGTTGAAGAAGAGCTGAAGAAATTGATAGATCTTGATAGCCCAACACCTGAATCCCAGAAGAACTTTAAGGTACATTAAAGAGAGTCTGGCTGGTTGTCTCTTGACACAGCTGAGAGAAATCTGGGAATACCTGAAGAGTAATGCATAAGTCCTCTTTGATCCAAGTCATAGTTCTCTTGTTACAAAATAAGTGTAAAGTTAAACTTTATAAGAATTTGATGATTGAATTCATTGCTACCTTGGTGTAGCAGCTAATATACCAGATGTTTTAACAATTTGGAAAAGGATGAAGGCCATGGAGTTCTTTCTTCTGTGTTGAAAATACTGGGTGCTTTTAAAGCAGTTGAAGCTGAAGTGTTCATTCATACAGTGCTTACTTGCTTGGACTTTACATTAGACTCAAGAGTTTCTCAGATAGGATTTTTTTCTATTCTCGCCCATAATAGGAAAATAAAATGCAAGGCATTCCCTGAATTCTCATCATGGATAGAAACCATTTGCCAGAGACTTATCTATGAGAGAAATATATTAGGGGAACAGTTTCATTATTACTGACACTGCAGTCCTATGACAGCATTGTGTGCAAATGTAAAGAGACTAGAAGGCCAAATTGCAAAGAGCATTTTGGGACTTCTGGCTCATGGAAAAGTCTGAGGTGTTGTCTTACACATTTGATGTGTTCTTCTCTGATTGCATCACTGGACAGGGACTTGTTGACACTATTGAAACTCCTTGCAAAAAGCACACTTTTATGCTTCTCTAATACTGTTACTGCACAAGGACTAAGAATGCTCCCTAAACTTTAGCAATTTTAATTATAAATTTATTAATAATTAAAATAGATTTATATTTGTTTTCAAAATCCATCATTTTGAATATAACATCTTGGATCTCTACAGTCTTCATAAACAGTCAGTGCCTAACAACTCAGGCTTATCTCCTAGAGCCCAAATGGTTTCCTTAGCAACTATGCAGAAGAGAGCTGCAGCTTCTTTCTTTGCTTATAAAAACCCAAAGTGGGTTGTTGAAACTTCTAAGTGCTAGATTCCACACACAGCTTATTTCAGATGTTGCCTTTGAGGCTGGAGCAAAAAAAAACTTGCCAATGGCAAGATACTGATTTCTTAGGTCTGTGGTAGTTCTGAGGGGAACAGGACATGGGCAGTGTGAGCATCTCCTGTTGGTTGTTTTCAGCAAGGGGATTGCTCTCATTCCAAGAACTTCCATTGTGTTTAAAGACCATAAAAAGAAGTTGATTGTTTTTCTGCTTTAGGGTTAGTGAATAACTTCTTACCTCGATCTTTATTTCCTGGTAACTGCAACAACTATATTAACTCAGGTTACACTTTTGGTACGTTCCAGCAAGTTAATGACACTCTCTCACACCAATAAATTAAATATTTTCAATTTTAAAAGTAACTGCTACTTCTGCCCACTGCACAATTTATATTTCATCTTACTAAAAAAGTTACTTTTATGATACAAATATTTTTGTACTGTTTCCTTTGCCACTTTGGGACAAGTACTGGGAGATTTCACTAGGTCATAACATGAACCTGCTGATTGAGCTTTTAGATTTCAGAATAAAAAAACAGTTTTGTCATCACTGTAACATAGCGACAACTGTGTACCAGGAGCTGTCCTTTCTGTAGTGTTAACTGTATATGCAAGGTTCATACTGTGAGGGGCATGTCCTGAGAGGCAGCACAGGAGAGAGAATTTGATGTAGTAGAAAGTTGGCATGGGATGTGGTTTCTCTGTCCTTCTTTGTCTTTCGATAATAGCATGTTTTTTGGAAGTAATTTTAATTTTCTGATCCTGAATCATAAAACCAAAATGTGCAGCAGTCTTGTATTCTTCACATGTGTAACATTTTGGCAAAAAAAGTAAAAATCTGGCAGGTTGTCTTCCACTGTACAGTACCAATACAAAAGTCCCTCTTCCACACTTTTCTCCCACCTTGCAGTGTGGCATTTTGATCACAGGAGTAGAGTACTGTCTCTTTAAACACTTGATGCCTCTTTCTGAGAAGAGAGAACTATTTTTACGTGAAAATGAGCAACTCTTTATAATGTTTAATCGCTCTTTCCAGAAATCGTATTATCATCTTTATTTAAAGTTGCTTACAGAACAAGTGAGGGTGGTGAGGTCTTCCTTCCTGTTTGTCATTTTTCCATGAAAGCCTTTGGACCAAATTTACACCAAACCGCAGATAAATGTCTTAGAGGTACTTACGTTGCTACAGGTTTCATGAAAATCAGTGTCTCTGCTGAATGGTTACAAGTTCTCTGATACCAGTTTGCTGGTACTGGTGAGTCTGTAAGTCAAGGCTAACTTACAGCATTGCTTTCTCTGTGGAGCGTGGAGGAAGCTGGGATGATGATGAGACATAAGGTCTCTTACTCATGGAACTATTTACTTCATTTCGATTCAAATCCTTCTGAAGAATCAAAGCAGTGGTGGGTGTTCCAATTGTTGAGTAATGTGAGACTTTAATCAGTTGGCGTTTGCTGGTGCTCTGCCTGTAGGAAGGCAGCCTCCCCAGGGCTCAGGGAGAACTCTGGTTTATGCAGCATTCAGTCTGTATCTATAAACATTATCTCCGCTACACGTCAGCTCTAGAAACCATGAGGCTGCCTGAGTCTTCCACTTCAGGAAAAGTCTGGAAGGTATTTAAAAGGTAGAATGTGCCACAGGCTGAATAAAATGTATAAGTGTTTTCTAGTTATTATCTCCTTCCAAGCAGATCACTTTAGTTCTTTTTTCTTTTCCACTCTGAAAAGAAATACTGTTACCACTTGCTTTCTCATTTTAAAAAAAGTTTTACAAAACTATTTCAACATAGACTTCAAAAGTTTCTTTATTGATTTTTTTTTTCTCATTTCTTTTTATTTGTTTTTATGAATGTATAGTCACACACTCTGTCCTGTCAGTCTCCCTTTCCCAGCACTCCTACCACAAGGCGTGCCTTGCAAAGGACTTTGTCAGATGAGAGTATTTACAGTGGTCAAAGGGACCACTTCTTCACCTCGCGGGCCTCGCTCTTGGACCAAGCCATGCCAAATGATGTTCTGTTCACCAGCACGTACCCATCTCTCCCAAAGTCGCTGCCGTTACGGAGACCGTCATATACTTTGGGAATGAAATCGCTGCATGGTAAGTGTAGTTCCCATTTTCCTACTTTCAGAGGAATCCTTTTTGAATCATGGTAAGGGAACATGTTTGCTACAGCAATTAGTGCTTCCATCTTGATTTTGCTACAACGAGGAGAGTCAAGTCATGTACCTGAAAACATAAAATGGGACAGGGATTTTTTTTTTTCACTTCAGTGGATATAAGACTGCATGACTGGTCATGCAGTTACCTTGTGGAGGGAGCACCTTGCCTCAATGGCTGTAAGTTTCCACCATTTCTTCCAGGAGTCATCTGGACCAGTTGGACCAATGGGCAAATAATATATGCCTGGTTATTCATCAGTGACAACTTCAGGTGTCAGTTCCTTTAGTGTGAGATTACGGGAACAAAATACTTTTAGGAAAAATATATGAAAGTGAATAAACACTAGTGAATACTTGGGTGTACAACTACTCCAGATACAGCTTTTATTACATGAACTGCTTTTAAATTCACTCCCTTACTCTATTCATTTTACAGGATTTGAGTTACTTTAGTCACACATCAACAGCTAACAAGAAGTTACTTAGCAAAGTGCTGTCAAGAAGACACTCTGCTTTTCCCCATTAGTTCACTGAAAAGCCTCAGAAGGCTTATCTGATAGGTTGCGTTGCTGCATGTGAATCTCTCAGTTGGTGAGAAGGGGAATTTTCACAGGTTCCCGCTGTATCTCATAAGTAAATGTGTACTAAATGTGTTCTCCAGAAATAGAACTAGGTCTCGCAGTGTAGGACTCTGAAGAAGTACGTATCTGCTCTGATTTATTCATGTTTTAGTATGTTTCAAGAGCAAAACACAAGGCTGCCAGTAGATCCAACTCACTATAGTGGTCCCGAAGCACAGTCTGTGTTTAGATACACAGGATACATTTGACAGTGAAGGCTGCTGTAGAAATCTATTTTAAATTATTTTCATCTGTCTGTGATCACCAGGCATCAGTTCTCAGTGTTTAACCTGACATTTTCATGAGCTGTTGTTTCTGTATAACATTTCTTGCATAAGAGTTAGGGAACTGAGCTCTCTTCTCTCTTCTCTTCTGCTTTTTATATGCACTAAAATAACTTTGCAGACTCGCTACACTTGTAACTGGCTGGTGGATTTGGCTTCTGAGGGCTTGGGGTCAGATAATACTGATGCTGTCTGAGTACAAGTGGGAACCAGCACTTGGTCTCTTTTCATTTTGATGCATATATTTTCTAAATAGAAAATAACAAAACCTTCTTTCACTGTCAAGTTCTTTTCCATACCAAACTCTCTGCTGCTCGACATTTGCCAACAAAACAAGATGTTCCATTTTCTATGAAGTATAGGGCCTGCATGATCAATCTTTCTCTTTCTCTCTCTCTCCCCAAATAGAGCTGGAGATATTTAATACCACAAGTATTTCTTGGCTTCCAGTTATTAAAAATTACTCATCTGTCTTAACAATCCAGCTCACACCTTTAAAACGGCATTTTTCAAATGGTTCGTTTTTTCTTCTAATTCTGTGTGAATCAAGATTTTAGATCAAAGAAGTTAATGCAGTGTAGCTTTTCTGGTCATTGTTTCCCAGGCAGCAATATTATTTAGCTAAAGTTACTAGAAAATTATTTTAGTTATTGAAGTTATATAGTTATTAGACTATCAAACAAAAAAAGAGGGGGGCAGGAAAAAAAGGCAACTCAACTAGTGGCATTTGTCTTTCAATGAGCTTGTATCCGGATTCTTCACCACACCCTTCTACTCTGCAGCTTCCTCCCATGTGCCCATTCTGTCTTCTCACCCCTATACCTCTGGTGCTTCTCATACCACCTAGAAAGTTTTCAAAACTTTCTTAGTACCCTGACATAGGGTATGAGGAAGCAAGTTGAGTATCTTAAGCTTGTTGCAGTGCTGGGGGTAGGCAGAGGTTGCTTTTGAAATTATAAGCTGCATAGATTCAGACATATGAGTGTCCTGGTGAAAAGCACTGTCTCAGAAAAGCGGCTTATAACAGGCTGTATCAAGTCAACTACAGTTGATCAAACATCCTACTGAATTCTGGTTCAAAAAGCATAAAAAATAAAAATAGAAGTGCATTAGTATTAAGAGTGGAATATTGGGGGTTTTTCTAGGGAGTTTATAATTTGTTCTGCATTCTTCTAGGAGAGTTTTCTGCCTCAGACAGTTCCCTCACAGATATCCAGGAGCAAAGACGGCAGCCCATGCCAGACCCTGGTCTTATGCCATTGCCTGATTCTGCCTCTGATCTGGATTGGTCAAACCTGGTAGATGCTGCCAAAGCCTTTGAAGGTAACTTTTCAGAATATAATACTTAGAAAGCTGGTCTTTCTGCATGCTTTGTTAAGGAGTGGTGGTGGTCTTTTTTAACCTTGGTTCTTGCTTTTGTTGTTGTTACTGTTTCTACTTAGTCTGAAGCTTCAGTTCATTTAATATAGCAACTCAAACCGTAACAGCCTAAAACTTTGTATGTGATACACAGATATCCTTTCTTCATACTGGAATCCCTTTGTGCTATGGTTTGGCTAAATCTCTGAAACTGGCTACTTTTCATTTCATGTAGAGCAGCTGCAGACATCACAGCTAGGGTGGAAAAGACATCTGTCATGGAAGTGCAAAAGTGAAGTCAAATGGCAGGGGAAAAGCCTATGAGCACACTAATGATTGCTTGCTTACTGCACTAGCAAGAAGTTTCTGTAGTGCAGCTGAAGTCTGCTGCCAAGGTAATTTGGGAAACATGCCTTGTTGGTATTACACTTTTTCCATTGCCATTCTTCCCTTTGCATACTCTGAATACATAAACTTGCACATAAGTGTCATTTCATCCTGTGGCACTTTCCATCTCCTCAACACTTAGTAAACCACAGAAACCTGTACACTGCCTAGATGTATTTGAATTTAAAATTAAATACACTTCAGCCCAAAGGGAGTTTACCTTGCAGTTACTATAATCCAATGGCAAAGTCTTCTAGTTGCATTAAACAGAAGTGCCTTTTCCTAATCTCTGCATAAATGCTGTCTCACCTTCATGAAAGTGTTTTCACTGATCCTGAACCTTCTAGACATTATTTTGCATGGTTGGAGAAGGCTGTCAAGTAACTTGCTTTCTTGGCTGTTCTCTGGTAGTAGGCATATACATAATTAAGACAGTTCATGTCTAAGCTGGTGTGGAGAAGGTAACAAACTGACAGCTCAGATGAAGAAAAGATGGGGTAATGTATTGGCTGACACCTTTATCACATGGCTATAAAAATATATTCAGATTTTACTTGGAGAGGCAAAAGCTGTCTGATGTCAACATAATCCAAATAATCCAGTCTCTAGTCTCTGCCAGGTGCCAGTAGGGTTTGACAAGTACCACGTAGCTTAAATTCTGGTTTGTGATCCAGGTCACATCTCTTCTACTTTGGTTGGTGTCTCCAGCACAAGTCTCCAAAGTTACAAATAGTGGTATCTGCAACCAGCTGAAACAAAAGCTGCCTAGATCCCTGAGCTACATCAACCTTCAGTATTTTCATTAAAAGACAAAAGGAAGAGAAAAATTCCATCAAATACCAAGGCGTTAATTTTAGCCTTCTTGAAAGCATAGAATAAAAATTTTCCAAACGTAGGATGACAATGCTGTTCTGTTTACAGAGAGACCAGCAGCTGCTGAGGGAGAGAAATGTTAATTTATTAAACTAACATGTTTATATTAGTGTTTGGGCTAGAGGTAGGGACAGTTGGTAGTTTACAGTCACACCACATGTGATAGTTATTTAGAGGTGTGTTAAAACATCTGAGCAGTTACAGGACAAAAAAAATACAGACACAAGGCAGGAAAGAGGTTTCACGTTTCAATCTGAGGAAGTTTTCTAAGGCATAAGGAAAAAAATTCGGGTTTTGAAAAATTACAGTGGTAATTTTATTTTCCACATGTAAATTGTGCACAGTGAGCTTTTACTTCAAGATAAAGGAATCCTTTATGGAGTGAAGGAAGCTAAATATAGTCATTGAGTTACTGGCTAGCGTTATGCAGGAAGTTCTGCACAGCTACTGTTGTTTCAGCTTGGCTTGTTGCCTGTCTTGGAACTGGCCTTGGGATGACTCTGAGAGAGTTACTGTGGTACTTCTGCTTTGCACTCTCTAACATCTCCTTCCTGGAGAGCTCTTTAGCCTGAGGGTGATTCATGATCTGTGTGAACCTGCAGTATCGTGCCAGAGATAGTACTTGCTTGTTGAATCCAACAGTGGAGAACCTGGTGCAAACACTTGAAATGCCAGTTTGCTTCTGTCAAGTGAATATTGGTCTGTCATATCATCACTTTATCTTGCTTGAGACAAACTTCTTAGATTGCTTTGAGATCCTGCAGCATAGCTGTTGCACTGTGCATGAGCAGATAGTCATTACTGCTGCCATGGCTGTTTTGTGTTTGCCTTCTCAGTTCAGCGAGCTTCATTCTTTGCTGCTGCTGATGAAAATCACAGACCTGTGAGTGCTGCCTCCAGTAGTGATCAGGCTGAGGACCAGCTCAGTGCACAGTTAAAGCCTTATACTGGGTAAGTAAGTACACCAGATCTGCAGGCTTCCTCAGCTACAAACCAAAGAAAAGAGCATAAGAATATCTTTATTTGAAAGCCATCTCCAGGCTTCACAGAACTCTTCTCAAGTTCTTACGAAGATGGTGGTGGGAAGTGAAAATGGAGGAATCACAGATACAGCTGAACCTTTTTACAGGTTCTGAGATGTTAATGAACATATCCAAAGCAATGGTAACTCCATGCACATATATTGAGTAGAATTAGATATCAAGTGATGGGATGGCCCAAGTTAATTACAAGTTAAATGTGTTCTGTGGATTAATGTGCTGCATGTTTCTCATGTACTCTTTGTTAGGGTCTTTGTATTAATTTTGTGAATTCGTAGTATACCTGAGAGTATACATAAAGCCACTTGGGATAGATGAGGCTGTTAGCTACCCTGTGTGAATACAGTAAATCGTATCAATACCTATTCCTGTTTCTTGCTTTCAACAGTAAAGAATCTCCTCCAACTCTTGCTTCTAAAGTGGACCAACTGGAAGGTTTGCTGAAGATGTTACAAGAGGATTTAAGGAAGGTAAACAATTAATTACAGAAAATATATAAGACGTATCTTTAGTGCCAATAGGTGATGCTTATAACTGTATAAACCTGCTTTGCCATGCCTGAGTCTTTGACAGTCTCCTCCTTGGATGAGAAGAAGACATTTCTTTACTTCTTTTCTCATATAGTACTTCTATGCAAGGCTAGAGTGGAGTGTCTGAATTTGTTGGCATTTGATTCCTCTGCTTAAATGAGAGGGTGATTCTGAGTGCCTCCACTCCTTTTTCAGGTGACACTGCAAAAAGCTTGATGTTAGTCCAGGTAAAGATATCCTGCTAATTTTGAAAAGTAAGAGTATTACCTAAACATAAAATGTCTACCATGGAAACTTCTTATATTGTGTTACTGCCTGCTTGGTCCAAGAAGGATCTGCTGTGGTGGAAAGAAAAGTCTCTTAGCTGGACAAGTATTTGCAGGAATACTTCCTATCCATTATTAAGTTAACCAAATCAGCAGTTGTACAGACTGGCACATACAGAACAGGGCATGCCCAATTTTATTTCACCACCTGGGGAGCCAGCTTCTGTATTAGATTTTAATATATAGAAATTATATATTATATAGAAATCCTGCTCATTCATGCAAAAAGTGCGGAGTTAAATGTCACAAATGTCCCTTAGATACAAACCCATGCGTCACTGCACATAAAATCCTTATTAAGAATGACTCATGCTCTCTATATAGGTAGGAAGCATGGCCTAAAATTACCACTAAGATCTGTATTTTTCCTCATGCCTAAGGAAAAAGAGGACAAGGCCAGTCTTCAGGCTGAAGTGCAACATTTGCGGGAAGACAACTTGAGGTTACAGGAGGAATCCCAGAATGCAACTGAGAAACTGAAGAAATTCACTGAATGGGTTTTCAACACAATTGATATGAACTGAGAACAGTGTACAGGGAAGGAAACTATCTGTTATGAATATTATTACTGGGACTTAAGCTTTAATGCCACCTTAATCATGACGTGTGAAAGTATAGTCAGAGCACCTCCCTGTCCTTCATCCTCCAATAACCCTTTTTTGCATCTCTGCGTGCACTCAGAACAATTGCAGATCAACAATCAGTGTCTGCCTTTTGTAGAAAAAAAAGTAAATAATTTTAAAAGGTAAAATAAAAGTTTAACTGCTAAAATGTGAATGTCTATTTTTTGCACATTGTCTCTTTATCTGTATGTACAAAATGATTTGGAGGTGGGATCAGGCTTGCTGTTCCATCTGCCTCTATTTCCATTAACTCCTTTCTCTCCGTTTCAGATAATCTGCTTTTCCTTGCAGCTTTGGCAAATATTACAACATCTAGAAATTTAGAAAAAAATGTTTATTTTACTGCTTTTCTTACATTGTTTTCTGAAGTATGCCACAGACAAGGGGATGTAATGCAATGTTTTAGGTGTCTCCTTGGCAATTTGCGCTTGATGGCTAGTGCTACCTTCCCATACATTACAGAGAACGCGTGTCCATAGCGTATGGTGCAGTACAACCAGCGTTTGGAGAGAGACTAGAGACCAGAGCCATGGGTGAGGCATATTATCACACATCTATCACACATTAGCATTTCTGGTAGCCTTTGTTTCCTGTGGAAGCAATGGCTGCAAATTACTTTATAAACAGCAAAATTAGGCATGCTGCAGTTCATACTGTATCAGGCAGGCTAAGAGATACTGAGTACTGTTGCTGTACCACTGAAGTATCATCCCCTTCCCTTCCAGGGGAATCTGTTACTTGCATACGTGCAGAAGACTTAGGCAGAAGTTGTAAAGAGATTAAGATTTCTTTCCCCTGAACTGTTTCCATGAAAATCCACATAAACCATCTCCATGCATCTGCCCTCCCATTCCATTTCTCTGGACTTCTCAAATCACATGTTTATTCAACTTGTGTTTTATTACATGAGAGGTCTCTTACTGTTGTAGACAGAGGAATATGTAAAGGTCAATTGGAGAAGTGTATTTTTCAAAGTACTGGGATAGGACTGGAGCTCTGAAATCCCCAATCCCCAGTGAAACTGTCTAGCACGAGATTTCCCAAACTGCCTCATGCCACGAAAGTTAATTTCTTCTTTGAAGGAACAGCTAACTTGCCACAACATGTCACCTCACCAGAAAATATTACTTAGGTGTCAGAAACCAACTTGTAAAGCGCCGCAGTCTGCACAGGCACTGAACTGTGCAGCGTGCTGAGAAACCTTGGCTACTCCCTTCTGAGGATACAGTCACTACCTTAATAAATATTGCCTTGCATAAAAGGGCAGGGGTTTAATTTCAAGAGCATCCACTCCCTCCCCTTCACCACATGCTTAAATAGACAGATTACAATCATTGGGCATAGCCTCTTGTCATGGAAACTTCCATACTCTTTTCAAATCCTTTTTTCATGCTCTTTAATCCTGCTCCATACAAGTACACACTACACTTCAACCTCAAACTTCATTTGTGATGCTAATCCCCATGGAGTTCTTCTCTAATGTTTTGTCATGGAAATGGATCTCTTTGGAACTATTTCTGGAGTGCTTTTGTAAAGGTTTAGAATGTTTTGGGTTTTTTAATTACTTGTATGAAGGAGATTTATATAATGCCTGATATTATTTGTAAATGGGAAATATTGCTAACATCTCTGAGCATCCTGAAGTCTTGCTTTTATTCTCTTTTATTTTTGTTTGGTTTTTATTTTATTTCAAAAAATATTTTGGGACTTGGGGCAGACTATTTATTAGAGTTTTGCAACAGAGTTCTTCTTGTATGATGCCACTGAAGGCTACTTGTAAAATTCTGACAATAAAATTCATTTTAAAGGCTCTTCTAAACCACTTTCTTCTGATTTTGTTGGGTTTCTTGTTTCAAGACTTTCCAGAGCGTCTGTTTCTTCCTGTTTTCTTGTACCACTTTAGTTGGTGGTTAGGAATATGTAAAAGTTTAATTCTGTATCAGATTTGAACTTTTTATCCCTTTTTAGTGCTGTGGATCACCATTCTGGATGGCTCAAAAATGTGAAAATGTGTCAGTCTGCAGAAAAGCATCTTCCAGGTTCACTGAATGAATCCTTAATAGGTACACGGGGAAAGAAAATCCTTTTTTTTTTTTTTTTTTTTAGCAGTGAAGTACCTGACCAATAGAAGCATCTGATTGAAAAAAAACTAGATGCTGTCTTAGTGTAATTGTATACTGGTAATTTAGTTGAAGGAGAAAATTCTCTGCAGGTCAAGGAGTCGCCCTGCCCACACTCATAATGAATCAACGCCAGAGGTTCCCACACTCCACCATGCACACTACTATGTCAGCCTAGACCAGGGCAAGATCCAACTTGCAGGCATCTCCTCACAGCCTGAGTAGTTACTAGGCTAAGCAGAAGGCATGTGGCTGTGGGAAGAGTGTACGTAACAGGGGCTGCCTTCCTATTTCTCCCAGGAAAGTGGTTTTGCATGCCTGGAAACAGTTTTGTATTCGTTGTCCATGTTCCACTGCAAGGTGCTGTTGTTCCTGTGACAGTGTTCTGGATAGCCAGCTGTGGCTGGTACAGCAGCAGAAGGCTGCCTTCTCTCAAAATCCCCAGGTGGGTGGGGAGGGGCCTGTCACCATGGGGAGCTGGAGCTTGCATGATAATGATAATGCTCCATCAGAACTGAAGCAAGGGGTAGGTAACAGGTGAGCTGTGAGGCACTCAGGAGCTGGGATTGTGAGGGGAGAGGCTGCTGTGAAGGCACCTGGGGAGCCAGTTATGGAGTTAGGGGAGAGATGTGGGGATGGAATGCATCCAGGTTTTAGTCCTCTAAAAGGGGACAGGGACCACTAAGTGCCACCACCTTCCCACTGGCACCTTGCTGCTGCCTCCTGGCCCACCACTGATTATATCCTCAGACCAACAGTAGACCTGAAAGCATGGTTACTGTTGGGTAGCCTGTTGTTTCTGTGGGAAGCTGTGTTCCAGACCTGATGAAGGAGTGTGGTGAGAGAGCCTTTTCCCCAGCTTTTCATTTTGTGGGAAAGGGCCCCATGAACCAGGCACAACTTGGGAGGGTTGTCTTTTTTAAAAACCTGTATGTAATCCTTCTTGCCTCCTAGTGCCTTCTTTTGGGTAGATGGTTAACAGATCCTCTTTAAAAGCAGTCAGCTGTCTCCTGGCAGACAATTCAGGGTGATGTTAGTCCTGTATGTGAGCAACTTGCTTTGCTGCAAGACAGCAAGAGAACAGAGGGGGTTGCTGTTTACCAGCTGGTATGGCATCCAAAACTGGATTTTCGGGGGGGAGATGACATTGTCCCTCTTCCAATCCTGCAGCTGGAGCAGACATGGGCTTTGCTGAGGTGGTTAGTAATGGACAGGAGCTGGACAATGAGATGATGAGGCTTGTACAGATGTATTCACCTCTTCCTGGTATTAGCTGCGGTGAGGAAATCCTTGCTGTGCTGTTTCAGGTGAAGGTGGAGGGCTCTGCAATTAAAGCAGAGGCTGCAGCTTTGGCTGAACATGAGGGGAGCAAAGCTGAAGAGTTTGTAAGAGTTGGTCTTGTTGGAGGCCAAGGTCTGGATTTGGAGCCCTGTTTCCACACAGCAGGCAGTGGCTGATGGCAGCTACCTACACCCTTTTTTGGCAATGGAGACCAGCTGCAGTGACTGTTCAGGTCAGACAGACCCCCTTTCCACCAGAGCAGCCTGGAGGAGTCACACTCAGTTTTGGGGAGACATGGCTGCTGTGGGACCTTGTGAAGTTTTACCTCACTCAGTATGCAAGGTTACAGCAGGTAAGTCTACCTCTCCAGCTTCTCCTGTGCTTGCATGGACCTGTCTCCCTCCAGAAAGGAGCTTGTGTTTCTCCCAGAAGTTTGGTGTCTAAATGATTAAAAGTGGGCTGGGGCTGTTTGTGGCATTGCAAAGTGCGGACGTGAGTGGGAGCTTCCATGGGGAATAAAAACGAAGTGCTGCAGCAAGCTGCACTGCTTACCCAAACCACAGGGCTTTGAGTGGCAGCATTTGTGGTCTATAATAAGGCAACTCAGGTTGGAAGAATCTTCAGGAAGTTTTTTGTCCAATCTTTGACCAAAGCTGGCTCAGCTCTGAGGCCAGACGAGGTTCCTCAGAACTTTATCCAGTTGGGTCTTTAAAACCTCCAAGGATGGAGACTGCACTGTCTCACTGGGCAATGCCTTACAATCCTCATTGTGAAAGAGTTTGTCTTTTTATCCGAGTTGTTAGCAGAAATGTGTAACCTGAGCAGCAATTACAGGCTTTGTTCTCCCTACATTACTATTTCTTCAGGAGCTTGACACGGGGGCCTGTACTCTCCTTCTAAGTGCTGTCCCCTGCCTGGTGCCAGTCCCAGAGTCTGAGCTTTTTCTTTCCAGTTGCTGAGCCTGGCAAGAAGGAGGTCCTGCAGCTTGGTATCTGCTGAGCTTTTTTTTTCTCCACTGATGAACTCCCTACAGTACAGTTCTGATGGTTTTTTTGTAGAGATTTTTCATTTCTGTGCTCAGTATCACTTATTCATGCTTTAAGCAAGGCCTGGTTTGAGCCCCCTGGTTTTGCTTCACTGTACTGCCTGTGAGAGGGACGCAAGTGCTGCCAGGCAGGCGGGCACAGCTGCTGGGCAGGCAATGCTCTAGCAGCCAAAGGTGACCTGTCAACTTTTGGCATACAAAGTAGCCAGAGATTGAAACTAGGATGTGCTCTAGGGCTAGGTCTGAATGTGAGTATCCTAATCTTAGTTGTGATAGCAGCAAACTAGTAACTCAAATGAGCTTCCATGCCACAAGGGCAAAAACCCCCAGGGACTTGTCCTGGTGCTAGTTTAAACTTCATTCCTGTTTGTCTTGCTTCCTCCCACCTGCTCCTGCACTTCTCCAGCAGTTTGTTCATTTTGCCTGGCAGCTGGTGCTTGCTGTTCCACCTGGTGCAGTGCTGCTGTGCTGGTCCTGGCAGCAAAGCTGGGACTGCCAGTGGCTGAGCTGAAAGGCCAGACTGGATCAAGCAATTGAAGCACTTGGCTGAACAAAACAGCTTGACCGCCCACTTGATTTTGTGAAAGGGGTTGAGGCAAACTGCATCTGCTGTGCATCTCACACCCAAAACTGAGTTTGCTTAACTGGAGCTGGGAGGCTCAGCTGATAACTTATCTGTATGGTATGAACAAGCTATCATAG